TTTGAACAAAGCGAGTCAAAATATTGACAAACTGTATATATTTCGTGTAATAGTGTAGTTTGATATTTCGAGAAAACAAAAGGCAAATTTGTCAATTCATATACGAGTCCAAATGTTACTTTAGGACGATATAGAGCAATTTTGAAATAACTATCGAAAGTACCCGGAAATGGCTTTGGTTTTGCTTTTCTTCTATCCGTGATTGGTCCAGATATCTCGCAACACCCTCTGAGCCAATCAGATACAAGACTAAAACCAATTACGACTCAGTCAATCTGGTTTTCCCGTCATTTTAGCGTTTACATTTTTTCTCCTTGGCCGTTGTGATTACTCTGGTGTTGGTGCTTCGTAGGGCAGGAGTTGACAGAATATATTTTAATATGTAGGAATGTAATTTACGGAAAATATATGCTATATCTTTCGTCGAACCTCTTTGCAATCGAAAAGGAGACAATTTTAAAACTCAAAAAAATTAATCTGTTCAAGCTTGAAAAATTATGAAAACGAAAAAGCAGTAATTACAGGTGATTCTAAAGTTCAGCTCCATCTAAAGATAAATGCGTAAACAAAAAATCCTCCAATTTTTATTTCTTCGTTTTTCTCCATTAAAATATCTTACGATTAACTTTTTAATTAATTGTCGTGACTGACTCCTTATGATATCTATTCGTTGTTAAGCAAAATGTGCTGCGATGAAGATGGTTTGATTTCATTCCAAATTGTCAGAGCGAAAATTATATTAAAAAAATGCTCGGCAGGCAATGTGGAAAATTGATGAGGAGATTGGGAGTGAAAACCAGCAGATAACCCTTAAGAAAACGGCTCCGTTTAAGAATGGTGAAGGGTTGCGCGGAAATCTTTCCCAGTCGTAATTAAGTTCGACTTTTTCCGGTTGAATATTTTAACTAAGGACGCTAACACACGAAAATAAATGTTACGTTCCATTTTTCGCTAAATAGGTTAAGGATTTTAAGAGCTAAAGCTAATTTCCTAAAACTCAAAGAAGTTTTTGTTCACGTTTTGATGATTAGAGCTCCGTTGTTGGTAAGATATCGCAATCCTGTCATCGAGAATTTTTTATTTCCATCTACTTTTATGTTGTAAAAATGGTGACAAGATTTCCGCACAGTCCCATTGGATAAAGAAAACAATGGCGAAAACGATAGTTGCTTGCCTTTGGGACTACAGCTTTGTTTTAGAATAGTAGAGGGTAAGACGGAAATCATTCCAACTTGGTGCCTGGGTATACTGATGGCTTTTCACGAAAGTTACAATTGCCCTAAATATATTTGTGGATCATTCTCATATCACCTCTCATTTCAGGCTTACTAACGCTTCCTAAATATTTATTTGAATGTGGTAAGTTGAGGATTGAGAACTTGTTTTAACCAGTGATTTTCGTTATCAAAAACACCTCTGTCATGTTTGATATTCCTCTTCGCAAAAACCTATTTATTTGTTGAATAAATTGGTAAACGCCTCGATCACCTTAAATTAATTACCTAAGATTGTAATTCTATCGTAATATATTTTAAATAATTAACGTTTTTCATAACAAAAGCCTCCTTCACGCATGATGGTCTTCATAACTTTAAATCAAGGTCTCAAAGACCTCTTTAGCTTTTAGAGCGAAAGAGCTCACGAAAGGCTGACGAAGAGCTAATTCTCGAAACACCATCTTAGAGACTCTTTACGGTGGCCAATTCACATTGCAAACTTGATAAAACCAAGCTATCTTATACCTCCCCCCCCCTATGGACGCAGCACCACAGTTTCTTTATCAACTTACCCTCCCCCTCCTTATTTATCTTAAACTTGTATGTTTTTTTTCCCATCATCAGATCTCAAGGGAATTGCCAGCTTTATCTTCTGTAAATATACCTACATACCCACGTAAATAAGAGGAAATTAGAAATGAATATTTCGCTTGAGTATTATGACACGACCTGAAATGGGTAAACCAAAACATACAAGCGAAAGATGTCAATTGCCTTGTTTAATAAATTGGCAAACACCTAGATTTCCTGAGATTTAAGTTATATCCTTCTTTCCAAGTGTTCCATGCTGCACAAATGTCAAAAAGCTATCATGTGGAATGAAAAAATTCTGCTGCCCAAACATAATCCTAGAAAAAATATCTTCGACAATGTTGATTCAATATACTCTTATTTCTTAGTAATCTTTCTGCCCGGTTGTCAACTTTGGTGTGTCACATATTACCGCGAGTTGTCATGGGAAGGACAGCCCCTAGTACACAATTTAAACCTATTTTTAACAAACTAAATGCTATAGCTTACCTTTGCGAGACTTATTTCTTTTGATTTACTTTCGATGAACTTTAATGCTTTCTTTGAATACTTCCCTCGAATCTGCAAGGGACAATATGATAAAATAAGTATTATTGATCTTAAGGTATGTTCCACAGACTGTGAAAAAATTTATTCAAGAATTGAGACAGTTTATTGAAACCTTAAGTATTTTATCAAGCTCAAACATTCAATTTTGATTCCTCTGCCCATTTACCACATTTATGTGAAAATTCACCAGGAATTGGCCTTCACGCATTAGGCAAATTTTAACTCTGTTTGAATTTACCGCCAAGTGATGAATTTCCGTCTTCACGAGTCCTATAGACTGAGGCGGTCCTACTTTCAAAATCTATGGATAAAATCTTCTGTGAAAATTTGGGTTTTCGAACGAAAATGTCAGTATGCCATTGCTTGATGAGAACGACTTCAAACCATTTTCACCCATAATTCAAAATTATCTCAACTCCACTACGCCACTTGGACAACAACTTAAAATTTAAACATATTGTCATTCTTACCTTTTGTTTTGTTTTGAGCAAAATGCGGCGAGCGACTCCTCGAAGTCTCCGGCCGCATTTAGACGTTGGACTTGATTCATTGACAATTTTCGTAGTTCTTTTTCGTCTGAGAAGTGAATCACTTCAGACCACGAGGAACCATAAAATGCAAATTACTCGATTCTTACACGTGCAAATTGAAGGTCGCGCATAAAAACCTGGGAACGAATTTGTTGGAAGTTTGAGGAATAAAGATTCGAAGTTGTAAGGATGTCTGGATGGGGTATTTTTGTTCAATTCCTTGCTAGATTAATTCAAAATGACAAGAACCCATTCTCCTACTTATGAACTATCAGCCATCAAACCTAGAAGGTCACTGAATACAGGAGACCATGTTCTTTTGACTGAAATTCGTTACAATAACTTTTTATTATGTTGAAAGATTCCCATGCATTTTAATCCCTGAAACTTTGATACAACATTCATCTCATTACAACCCTTTGTATGGGCTTTCTGTGGCCTTCGAGCGGGCTGTCATCAGCGCTGCGGCGCAAGCAACGAAACGCGCGAGAGGTCTGGCACTGGTCAGAGTCCCAGCGGATCTCTAGAAGGATACAGTTTAGGATGGCATCGAACCCCTGAGGTCGCTTCCATTTATGTATTGACTCTTTGCATGTACTTTTAGGACTTTTAATTATGAATCATTTAAGCTTTTCTCTATGGAGAACGTTTATGTAATCTATGTTTGTATTCTGTCTATTTGAAGATTGCACGCGCGTGCGATATAGCTCTCATTCTCAAATAATTCTTTAGACAGTTATACAACTTTCAGACTGTGTTCTCGTCGAGGGAGAAACCCCCAAAATTTAGTGAAACTCTCAGGAAACAATCAGGGCACAAATTGTCTACAAGTTTAATTGTAATTGCAACACACACAACAGTTGGTGACCAAAACACCTACAGTCTTACCACCACGTGTTCTGCTTCTTATTAATTGTGATAGGGAACAACTGAAATCGGACACCTACTAATGACAAACTGGAAGAACTCAATGCGCAGACTCAAAACGGCGAAACACGTGCGATTCAAGGTGGCGGGTAATATGAGCGTGAGAGAGGGCTGTGAAACGGGTCTGGCACTGGTTACATTGTCGTGTCTCAGAGCTTGGTCCTAAGCTGAGGCTTTGTTGCGGCCAGCTTGTGATTTCTTGCAGTTATCAAGGAAAAGATTACTGCACCTGTTACTGGCCAGCCTATCTAAATGCTTTTTAAAACAGCCTCTTTTCACTGCATTTTTTTCCACGTTATGCAATTCAACCTTTTGGTCACGCTATGAGTTTGCGCACTGAGTTCTTGCGGTTCTCTGATTGTTTCTTGCGGTTTGACCCTTGAATGTCAATTTCCTTTTATTCCCCTTTGTAATCAATAAGAAGCAGAACATTTGGCGATAAAATTTCGCAATTTCAAGGTGTTCTGGTCACGTACTGTTGTTTATTTTGCGAGGTAATAAAAATTCAACATGAAGAAAATTTGTGCTCTGATTGTTTCTGAGAGTTTCAATAAATTTCAGGGCTTTCTCTCTCGACGGAAACCCAGTCTGAAGGTAATATACTGTCTGTTTAAGGAAATAAATGGGAATAACAACTAACTCCCGCAAAAATCGACAGAATACAAACAAGAGGATAGCTATATTCATAATAATCTCAGAAGCACCCGCAAAAGATCAGAACATAGAAGAAAGAATCGTTTACCAGGCAACTACCGCAGGAGAGAGAAATCTTGGACCCTATAACGTTCGCAACAACCCAAGATTGCATGAAACTGGACGGGAATGCCGATACTAAAAGCCCGTTGGTGTAACAAGTTTCTCGATTTTTATCACGCGTGCCGTGATGGTCCCTTTATTTCTGCCACATACCTCTTTCAACTTCAGCTCTCATAATTTTATGTAAATCGAACAGTGTTCCTGTGTTGATGTTTTTATTGCATCTCATCGCTTTCCTGCAAGACAATGTATTGATATTGGAAGAGGTTGTTCCATGTTTGAAAGGATTAGTTTGTTTCGTAATCATGAAAACGTTTCTAATTTAGAATTTTTTAAAATAAGGATCATTTTACATTGTAAAACCATCGTTCACGCGTGCACCAGGGTTTGTGTTTACTTCTGCAAACTCCACTGATTTCCAGTTCGTTTCGTTTCAGTGCGTAAATTAAAGTAAGCCTCAAGTCAATAAGTGAGAGAAGAGCCTATTTTGATGCTGTGGGATTGAATTGGTGAGTGTTTTCTGAAAAGGATACACTCGATAAGCCTTGAAGAATATTCCAGTGCTTCTAATCTCTGTTATGACTTAGTGCACAGTTTTAGGAATGTTAACAGCAAAAAAACGTGACTTTAATCACCTCAGTTGATCCTGACGGAAAATTTCCTTTGTTGTTATGCCTCATTAGTATTCAAATATACAGAAATTGATCATACGATCGATAAAAACAAACTTGACAATACATCTCGTCGGGTGTGCGGTTGATTTTGCGTAGAAAGCTTATCCTGGGAAAAGGTAAGATAATTTTTGGGTATAATCGTTGCAAAATGGTCAAGCATTGCTCATTATTATTTCGGATAAATTTTTTCAAGCATTTGCCGCTTTTACAGGCATTTAGCGGATAAAACGGTCATATTAGATTATTGAATTTGAAAATGAACTGCGTAACAGCTGAGTATTATCCCTGAGAAATTAAACGAGCGTTAAGCTAAAACCTCGCTAAGATCTTGATGGAAGATGTTTTCATTGTTGTTCTTTGAAGCTAAAAAGTGTTTCAGCTGTGAGAAAGCCTGAACAGGCAGTTGTTTTGCTTAACAGCAATGAAGTGAAGTAAGAATTCGTTAGGGTGATATGAGGAAGGGGCTGACCGTTTGTTATCTTAAAATAAGATCTAGCTCCCATAATAATTGCAACCTCTGGCCACTAGAATATGGAGCAGAATAATTTTCGTGCTTAAGGCAAAGCGTTTTTTTAACTGAATAACGAATTTTCCATGGTGGTCATCCAAAATTTCTAAACAAGTAAACGGATCGACAAACAGCTCCGACGCATAAGATCAATTTTTAGTGTTTCCATCACCCCCTGTAAAGTCAAGACAAAGGACCTCTCTTAATCCTCAATAACTACTCATGAAGATGCAATATGACTCTTCGCTGTATTGTAAGAAAAAGAACCGTCTATTGCATTTACCAAGGTCAGTTACGCCGACTAAAGAAATGGCAAACAAGACGTTTGAATTTCCACCATTAGTAACCGCATAAACGAACACACCGATCTCATTTCATTTCGTGCGGGCCTCAACTGAACTCCGTCGAAAAAATGCAAAGAAAAAAAACACTCTTGTTCTCGGCTGAAGCAGATATTTTCTTTCAGCGCCTTAAGGTTGAGAGCGGACGACCCTAAAAGCTTTTGCCAATAAGTATGTTGATTGACTATGAATTAGTAGCCGCGATGTTTATTCGTAAACTGATGCGTCATCTTTCTTCGGTCTTTGTATGGAAAACGAAAACAGATCAATCCGAACTTACAAAAAAGGGTTGTAAAAATACATTTACTTGAGAAAAGGGGCGAGTTCTTCGTAATATTTCGATCCATTGTGCAAAGCATTGTAAGGGCTAGACTTGGCTAGACTTGACAACACAAACCTCGACGGGTTAAGAATAAATTAGCGACAGACGAGTGTCTTTTTTTTAAGTATGGCTGTGATTTATTCAGATTACTGTTAACTAACTTAAAAATAAAAAAACTTAACTTAAAACTTATTGTTTTGATGGATATTCCGAGAGAACACTAGCATCCAATCGTTCTTTTCCTCAAAACAGAAGTGAAGCTCGCGAAAAAGATGATTCGGGGGTGTTTTCGGGGGTGTAATCAAGGGTTGATGAGCACAAACAATAGCTTGCGTACATTGTACAAGCGTCTTCTTTCCTGAATACCTTATTGCGGACAGTAAATGGCTAAAGAAAATGAACAAAAGTGAATAGAATGAATAGAGCAATTTTCAATTGTTTGCCGAAAGTAATCAGTGATTGCTTTGTTTTTCCTTTGCGTCAAGTTCAAGTTCAAAGTTTCATTCACCAACTTGAACTTCACTTTGTGATTGGTCCAGAAAAGTCACACCACCATCTCAGCTATTTACTTGCAAAACTAAAACCATCACAACCTGGTCGTCTGCGTTTTCCCGCGCTTTAGGCAGTTTGGTCGGTTTTATTTTAAGGTTTCATTGGTTCTTAGTGGTATTTCGTTTCTTCTGAGTTGCCTATGTAGATGTGATTATTTTGGGTTTGGTTTTACAACACTCAATCGAAAAGTGCACTAATCAATCCAAACTGAAAACTCCAAAAGTGAAACTCAAACATGCGAAGCGTCTACCCAGGGGAATGGAGCTTTGAAAATATGCAAATTTGGACAGACTAAAAGTTCTACAAATCTAATAATGGTGACATGGACAATCCCGTGAGAAAGACCACCTATAGGTCTATTTCGTCTCCACATGCACGCCTTCATTTTTACGCGAGCTCTACTCACGCGAGACTTGAGTTTTAATCAATGGAATGACTTGGGAAAAAGCATGTATGAATATTTATTTTTGATTTTTTTGTTCAGGTGTGCAATCATGGTTTTTGGCGAAGCTCTAGTGTTGGCGTTCCTGGCCACAACAGTAGCCTTATTTGGTGTGTCTGTGCACAGCATTTTCACATCCAAGCACAACTCGCTGATGGAATTGAGAAAACTGGAGGATCAGATGATGGAAAAGTACGGCTGGAATCCTTCAATGCCTTACAATGCATACAACTAAAGATAAAAAGCGTAGAGGAAAAGCTTAAACTGGATTTTTCAACCAGATAATTGCTGGCCTTCAGTAAGTGTGAAGAAACCGTAGATCGAGGTTGCATTGGAATTCCAAGTTCCACAATAATTTTTTTGTATATTGGCGTGTTAACTACAACACCGTAGAAGAACTGATCTGCAAAGATGACCTAAGAAGTTTTGCCCTGGTTTTATT